TTGGATGTGACTTTTTTTTTCTTTCCTTAAGGGTATGACTGTGGTATATGTTGTGTATTATCATTTGCCTTTGTTTCCGGGTGCTTCCAGAGAGCCAAAATGCTATATGAGTTCCTTGGTTATGGATAGCTTCTATGCAGTGGCTTTCTCAGATGATGCTTATTGTAGTGATGAATTGGCTCTAAGAGCTGACACCTAACACCTTATCTCCTGTGGAACTGAGGGTATGGAGATCCCAGGGGGCTCATCTTGTGGACTAGCACTAAGCCCTTTTTGTAGCAGATTTTTATTTGATGACGCAGTTCGGGTTGCAGTCCAGTAGATGGCACTTAAGAGTAAGAGCTGGCAGGTAGGCTGGCGTTGGGTGGAAGCACCTGCCCTGAGCGGGCAGGGGATGGTGGCGGGAAGAGGTCCAGTGGGGTGTGCTGACGTCTTGGGGGAGAAGGTGGGTGGGTACACCCACTCCTCATCCTGTGCTGGCAAGAACGTGATCCACTTCACTTCCTATCATGCCCCCATCACAAGGCTCCCAACCTTCATTTCATAAAGAGTTTTTCCTTTGGTTCCTGTCTGCGGGTTGCGGGTTCACTCCTCTGAGGGCTGCCACCAAAATGGGCTCAGGGAGAGTCTCTTCCTCCAGATGGGAGCAGGCAGCTCTGTAACTTGTCTTCACTTGTCGGGATGTTACTGCTCTGTGTAGGGAAGGGGAGCTGGGCCCCACTCTTCCTGAAAGCTTGAGCTGTGCAGGGCTCACTTTCAGTAGAAGTAGAGCCGCCACGAGAAGCATGAAATAATGTTGTGTGTCCAAGTGCATGTACTGGCCCCTGGCAGGGAGAACACTGCTACATCAGCAACAGTGTAGGGGGATGCAGGAGATGACCCCTTCCCCACATCCATTCCTGGGTGATGATACTGCCTCTTGCAGTGGTTGGCACTGTGCCTGCATTTCCTTTGTCCCGTGGGGTGCTTTTGGTGGGCTGCACTCTCTTCCACTTAGGGATGGCCCATGCAGGGGGTTAGATCTCCAGAGATCTCACAGTTACCTGGGGAACTGCTGGTTCCCTGTGCTTGCCAAAGTTAGAGTGGTTTGTTGGGTGTGTTTGCAGGGAATCTGGTGGTGTGGTGACTCAAGGGCAGAGAATCCCTGGGCAGGGCAGCATCCCACCGCCAGTGCGCGACGAGTATGGTATCTGGCACCTGAGGGGAGTGTGGACACGCCTGTACACACGAGTTGGCCACCAGATTCTCCAGCTCCAAGAGGTTTTCAAATTGCCACCAATAGTGTTGCTCTGGGTCACAAGGGCAGAGAAGCACTCTCCAACAGTTTGTTGGTCAGGAGATGGTTGGAGGAGTGAGGGGAGCAGAGAACTATTCCCACCTACCCTTTCCACAGGGCTCCAAGGTCCTTGAGGGTCGATCTCTGCCAGACTCTTGCTGCTTTCCTTTTCTGCACCCCAACTTCTTCCCATGGGCACTCTGACAGGTCCTGCCTCCCTTCCCTCAGTTTTCTGTCTAGAATTTGTCCACTCACCAGTAACTTTTATCTATTTTTTGAGAAAAACTGGCTTTTGATGTCCCTAGTAAGCCATCTTGGGACAAAAAAAAACCACACACACCACAAAACAAAAAACAATTTCTTCTGTTATTGAATGTCCTAGTCTTTAAGTGTCTGGCTCTCCAAAAGGGAGAAGAGAACAAAGAAAGGGGACAAAACCAGACGTTGGCCTTTTAAATCCTCTGAAAATTGCTAGCCAGAGCAGGAGGGGTTTTCAACAGTAGCTGCCTCTGTGTCTGCATCTCCCTGATTAGAAGCAGCAATTGTGATCAGAGCACAGACTCCCTGATGTTTGGAGCACAGGGTCCTTATTGGCCCACCTTGACTTTCATAAGCCATGTATAAGCTACTTCAGGAACAAGTGCGTGGCTGCCTGTCCAGGGGTTGGGGTGGTGGATGAGTAGCTGCCATTGTGCTAAAACCTGAAGTCGACTGAAATGAACCTCAATTTACCCTCCAGACCTTCCCCTGGAAGTTGCAAGCCTTTAATAGATTCTAGAGTCCCAAAATAGTTACATCAGACAGATTCTGCCAATGTGATTGTGGTCTAGGTAGGGTGACAGATTCTAGATGCTTCTTACTCTGACATCTTCTATTTCCTAAATCATGTTTCAAAGAGTGTAGTACAACACAGTCTACAGTTACTTTCCTATGTTCCTATGGCTCTAATGCTATATAATTAGCCCTTTCCTTTGTCTACCAAGTAAGGTAATTATTTACATGTGTGTTCATCTTCCTAATGTACTGTGAACTCTTCCACTAGTCTTCCCATAGTATGCATAGAATATATTCAATAACGATTTGAATGTGAGAATTACACATTATGAATGTGGCTTCTTCATTTTGTCATCATTGACTTGTGATTTTTAAAGATGTGAGTTTGAACACAGAAAAATTGAAGTTTACATCCAGTGTCTTTATCTCAGTAAAATGGAGTAAGTTCATATGTCTGTTGAAAGTGATTGGATGGGGTAAGTTTCAAGGCAGCATGAGATGTGTAATACCCGCTGTGTGTACTTCAGGGAACAATCTAATAGCAATAATTTTTTTTTTTTTTTACGTGCTGATTGGCAGCGAAGGCCCATGGGAGGTTGGATAGCATGCATTGTAATGGATTTAATGCATTTCTTCAAACTGCTTCATGGCATAAAAGTAGAGCAGAGAACTTGAATGGTTGGAGTAGTCTAGGTTTAGAGAATGCTGAAACCGGTAGGAAAGTCATGAATGAACTAGTTGCTGAACTAGGAAAGTAGTTCCTAGTTGGATGTGAAAAGCATACATAATAATGGGGAGAAAAGGAAATAGTGAGATATTATGAAAAGAATGATCTGGAGTCTAAATTTGGCAAGTAAGGATTAATTTTCTCTTTCCCACTGAGTTAAGAAAATGATAGAAAAATTTACCACCAAGTCCTAAATTTTCATTTTATAATTAGTCTATTTCTTTACTCAACAGACATTTAATGTGTCTCTTCTGTGTTAGGTTCTGTGCTAAGTACCAGGACAACAAAGATGCAAAAGTAAAATTTATCTCAGCAGTTCTGGTGCCTAACAGTGCTTGGCATTCAGTAAATACTTGTTGATTTTAATTGATACTTACATAATCTTATACATCCAAGAAAATCTAGCTTTCTGTTATTCAACATGACAGCAGGACTGTATTATTTTTGTGACCTTCCACCTTAATTTTCGTCACATGTAGACTCTAGTATCACCTGGATTATTCAGATTGATTTTCCTACTTAAATTCAATAGAAAAATTGTGAATCTGACTATGAGGGGAGGCAATATGAACTCATTAAATATGTATTCCTGTTTGGAGAAATATTGGCTGGATAGCTAGAATTTTAGATTGGGAATTCAGGTTTTACATCAGCAATAAAATGAATCGTAGTTTAGAAGTTTTATTTTTTAACTTCTCATTTTGAAATAATTTCAGGTTTACAAAAAATTGCAAAAATAGAACAAGCAATTTCAGCTTTCCCAATGTTAACATTTCATATAACCACAGTACAATGATCAAACCAAAAAATTAACATTAGTAAGTACTTTAATCCATAGGCCTTATTCAAATTCCATCAGTTATCCCAGCAGTGTCCTTTTTTCTGGACTAGGATCCAATCCAGGATCACACATCATATTTAGTCAAAATGTCTCCGTTGTCTTCTTTAACATGGAACAATTCTTTAGTCTTTGTCTTTCGTGACCTCAGTACTTTCGAAGAGTACTTGCCAAGGCTGGGCATAGTGTAGCTCATGTCTGTAATTTCATCACTTTGGGAGACTGAGGTGGGTGGATCACTTGCGTCCAAGAGGTTGAGTCTGCAGTGAGCTCAACCACTCCAGCCTGGGTGACAGAGTGAGACTCTGTCTCAAAAAAAAAAAAAAAAAAGTACTGGCCAATGTTTCAAAATGTCTATAAATTTGGATTTTTCTATTTCCTTGTAATTAACTGTAAGTTAGTACTGTTTTGGCAAGAATACCAGAAGAGTAATATTATATCCTTCCCAGTGCATCACATCAGGAGTCACATAGTGTTGATGTGTCTCATTACTGTTGACATTAATTTTGATCACTTTATTAAGAATGTGTCTGCCAGGTTTCTCCTCAGTTAACAGTGTTTTCTCACTTTTAGTTAATGATTATCCTATGGGGAGATACTTTGAGACTGTGTAAATATCCTATTTCTTTTTGTGCTTTTACCCACTAATTTTATCATCCATTAAAATTCTTTTTAAAACAATTATTACTATTGTGTTTACCAATTAGAGTTTTTTTTTTCCTCATAATTTCTTTTAAAATTACTAATTGGGGCTGGGCGCGGTGGCTCACACTTGTAATCCCAGCACTTTGGGAGGCCGAGGCAGGCAGATCACTTGAGGTCAGGAGTTCGAGAGCAGCCTGGCCAATGTGGTGAAATCCTGTCTCTACTAAAAATACAAAAATTAGCCAGGCGTGATGGCATGCACCTGTAATCCCAGCTACTCGGGAGGCTGAGACAGGAGAATTGCTTGAACTCGGGAGATGGAGGTTGCAGTGAGCCGAGATCACACCACTGCATTCCAACCTGGGTAACAGAGTAAAACTCCGTCTCAAAAAAACCAAAAAAAATTACTAATTGTGTTTCTATTATAAGGAAAAGTTTTTCTCTTCTTTCTCATTAATTTATTTATTCAATTATTTACATCACCATGGATTCAGGGATATTTGTTTTATTCTTTGAGTTATAATCCATTACTACCATTATGTATTTTGTTGCTCAAATTGTCACAGATTTGGCCAGTGGAAGCTCCATCAAGTTGACGTATGTGTCCTTGCAACATGTCCCCATTATTTTTTGAGTGTTTCCTTTCTAGCACCGTAGGATATTCCACATTCATCTTTAGATAGTATTTCCTTTTAATGTGTGGTTTGCATTTCAAATTATTTTTTTGCTTTTTTTTTTAGGTATGAGGATACATGGGCTGCACTTCACAGAAGAGCCAAAGAATGTGCAAGTGCTGGAGAGGTAAAGAATTGGCTAATCTTATACTCGTGACAAACTTTCCTTTTTCAGTGCTAAATGGCATTTTTTAAAAATCGAATTTATAATTGTTTGTGTCAAAATGTTTTGCAGGATATCTGAAATTGAATCTAGTTGTTGATTATGAAACTCCCTGAATAAAGCACCTTTTTATCATTTCTCTGTCAAGTAATTTAGTTTAGTTGAACTAGAGGGTTTATAACTTTTATTCTAAGGACAGGTAAATACATGTTTTATGTAGATATAATGCTCTGAATTTTAGTCTGATGAATTTGCAATATATGTAAATTATAAGACATCTTTTTCTACCCTTTATAAGACATCTCTTTCCACACTATTTAAGAATTCCTTATTATTTGGTCAAAAAAACTTAACTTTGCTCAGTCTATCCAAAATTATTAATTTGCCTAACAAATAAATACAAGAATTTCAGGGGTCATCCTCAGTTCACTTAGAAGAACAAAGTATTTTTAAGAGCTAGTGTCTTGTAATTTAAATGACTTGGTAAATGCACTTAGCCAAGGTCAAATACTCTCCTCGGTGTTGTTGATGTCAATCAAACTTCATTTTTTTTCTGAAATGATTTCTGTAATTCTGACTTTAAATAAATTTAGACTGATTATCTTTACCATTTACCTAAATTAGTGAAGCTGTAATAATTATATACAACACAGGAATATGTATGATGAAATGTAGACACTAACATTTCTCTTAGAACTTACTGAGAAGAAGAAAATGTAGGTTTCTGATAGTAAGGCAGAATAGATACTTTGAAAAGCCCTACAGCTGTGAAATACTTAAATGTTGGATATGTTTTTTAAAAGTTCTTTAATATATATTAAGCTCACAAAAATTAAGGGAAACATAAAGGGCCAACAACACAACAAAACAGAACAGGGAACTTAAATCAGAGTCATTAAAACAACAAAACAAAACATGGCAGTTGGGATCAAAATACTAAAACAAAAGCTTTGGAGATTTGTGGGAGTAGGAGACTTTGTCTGTGGGGATCTGAACCTGAGACTTTTGATAAAGCTCTTTGGACTTTGAGGTGGCTACATCCCCTCGGTGAAAGCTTAAGCTGGGGAAAAAAATGTACCTATTGGCTAAAGGAGTCAGCAAGGAAACTTGTCTGTCTTCCTAACAAGTTGGCATAGCCTCCTTTCTTGATTTGTTACCGTAGTATTGGCTTCATAGGAGTATGGGGTTCTAAGTTATATTTCCTGCATGATCAAGGAACCTCTAAGTTAAGAAATAAAAAAGTTGGCCGGGCACAGTGGCTCACGCCTGTAATCCCAGCACTTTGGGAGGCCGAGGCGGGTGGATCACCTGAGGTCGGGAGTTCGAGACCAGCCTGGCCAACATGGTGAAACCCCATCTCTAATAAAAATACAAAACTTAGCCGGGCATGGTGGCGCATGCCTGTAATCCCAACTACTCAGGAGGTTGAGGCAGAAGAATCGCTTCAACCTGAGAGGCGGAAGTTACTGTGAGCTGAGGTTGCGCCACTGCACTCCAGCCTGGGCGACAGAGTGAAACTGTCTAAAAAAAAAAAAAAATTTGTCACCCAACAAAAGCAAATGCAAATTCTCCATGGATGAAACGGTCTAAACGTAGGTCCCTCAGATTTCCACAGATTAAATCAGGCTCCCTGTCCTCAAAATATTAGCAAGCACACAAGTAAAACACCAAAAGTTTGAGTCACCAGAACCAAAGAGTGAGATTTAGACCCACAAAGGACTGTAGGTACTGCACTATTGAACATTGACTGTTAGGTAGTTATATATAAAATCTTTCAAGAGATAAGAGATGGACTTAAACATGAGTAAGGAAGAAGGCACTATCAAATATTTTAAAGTCATTGAAATTACAAACCCAAAAGATGTGCTCAACAGCAATTTGAGGCAGCCGAAGAAAGAAAGAGTGAAGTAGAAGAGAGAGTCAAAGAGTACACGGCAAGGATCTCAGAAAGAAAATGGAAAATATGAAAGAGGAATTGATAGGCAGAGAACACTTATAAAAATGTCTTTAGGTTGAACCAGGTGAGATTGCTAATATTTGATGAATTTTGATCTGTAAAATTGCAGTTTTGTATGAGTTAGCCCAACATATCCAGTAAATCTAGACAGTTCTAGAAAGAGCATGAGGGAAAGACAATGTAGGAAAAGAAAAATGTCTGAGAATTTTCCATAAATGAGATGTGCAAATCCTCAGATCCAGAAAATACAACAAACAACAATATAATAATCCATTCCTAGACACCTCATGCTGAAGCTACAGAACCCAGTTGGGCACAGTGGCTCACACCTGTAATCCCAGCACTTTGGTAGGCCAAGGTGGATGGATCACCTGAGGTCAGGAGTTTAAGACCAGCCTGGCCAACATGGTGAAACCCTGTCTCTCCTAAAAATACAAAGATTAGCTGAGCATGGTAGCATGTGCCTGTAGTCCCACCTACTCAGGAGGCTGAGGTAGGAGAACATCTTGAGCTGGGGAGGTGGAGGTTACAGTGAGCCGAGATCATGCCACTGCACTCCAGCCTGGGCAACAGCAAGAAGCAAGACTCTGTCTAAAACAACAACAACAACAAAAACTACAGAATCCTAAAGGAGAGGAGAAGATCTTAAAATAACTAGAGAGAAGACAGATCACTTATAAATGAATGAGTTCCACAGCACACTTTTCAAACTGTTGTCAAGAACTAGAGTAAAAGCAAGACATACTGAGATAAAAACAGATTTTTCTGTCAGTAATCGTCCAATAAAAGAACTACTAAAGAACGTAATTCAGGAAAAAAGGAAACTAATTTTAGAAGATGGGTCTGAGATGTAGGAAGAAATAGTGAGCAGAGAAAATGGTAAACATAGATAAATCTAAACAGTGGGGATATATATATCAGTTGTCTAATTTGTGGGGTTAAAATGATAGAATAATAATGCTAGATAACAAAGCATATAAGATGGAAGGCAGATTATCAGCGTTCAAGCATTCTAAGACTTTTGTATTATTTGGGGGAAATATATCAATATGGATTAACCTCACTTTTAAAAGTTAAATATGGAGGGCAGAATTTCAAGGGTAACCACACACACAAAAAAATAGAAAGTGGTTGGGTGCGGTGGCTCACACCTCTAATCCCAGCACTTTGGGAGGCCAAGGCAGATGGATCGCTTGAGGTCAGGAGTTTGAGACCAGCCTGACCAACATGGTGAAACCCTATCTCTACTGAAAATACAAAAAATTAGCCTGGCGTGGTGGTGGTCACCTGTAATCCTAGCTACTTGGGAGGCTGAGACAGGAGAATCACTTGAACCCGGGAGGCAGAGGTTGTAATGAGCTGAGATTGTGCTACTGCACTCTAGCCTGGGTAGCAGAGTGAGACTCCATCTCAAAAAAAGAAAAGAAAAAGAAAATGTTTCTTCTAAACCAGTGGAAAAAAACTAGAACAGTGAGAAAGAATTCAGTCAATGCAAAAGATGACAAGAAACTAGGGGAAAACGCATAACAAGCAGAATAAACAGAATACGATAGTAAATGTGAATATATCTGCGATCTCAGTATTTTTAAATGATTAATCTAGACTGCTAGAGGGCATATTTTGAAAGATGAGGAAAAGTCTATTAATAGTTTATAACGTACTTACAAGGGAATACCTAGAACATTAGGACACAGAAAGATTGAATATATGGGCATACCTCAGAAATATTGTCAGTTTGGTTCCAGACCACTGCAGTAAAGTGAATATTGCAAGAAAGCAAGTCTGACAATTTTTTTTTTTGGTTTCTTAGTGCATATAAAAATTATATCTATACTATACCATTGTCTATTAAGTATGTCTTAAAAAGCAATGTAATACCTTAATTAAAAAATACTTTATTGCTTAAAAAATGCTCACAATCACCTGAGCCTTCAGTGAATCATAACCTTTTTGCTGGTTGAGAGGTTTTTTGTTTTATGCTTATAGCTGCATATCTGCACCCTGCAGATCAGGGTGGTGGTTTCTGAAGGTTGGGGTGGCTGTGGCAATTTCTTGAATAAGATAGCAATGAAGTTTGCTGCATCTATTGACTCTTCCTTTCACAAAAGATTTCTCTGTAGCATACAATGCTGTTTGATAGCATTTTACCCATAGTAGAACTTCTTTCAGAACTGGAGTCAGTCAGCACCTCATCCATTCGTGTTTGATCATGAGATTGCGGCAATTCAGTCACATCTTCAAGTTCCACTTCTAGTTCGAGTTCTCTTGCTATTTTTACTGCATTTAGAGTTACTTCTGAAGCCTTGAACCCCTCAAAGCCATCCATGAGGGTTGGAATCAATTTCTTCCAAATTCCTGTTAATGTTGGTATTTTGACTTCCTCCCATGAATCATGAAGGTTTTGTAATGGCATCTAGAATAGTGAATTCTTTCTAGGAGGTTTTCAATTTACTTTGCTCAGATCAGTTGAGGGAACTTCTATCTATGGCAGCTGTAGGCTTATAAAATATATTTCTTAAACAATAATACTTAAAAGTTGATATGACTCCTTAATTCACAGGCTACAGAATGGATGTTGTGTTAGCAGGCATGAAAACAATGTTGATCTTGTATATCTCCATGAGAGCTCTTGGATGACCAGGTGCATTGTCAATGAGTGGCATTATTTGGAAAGGAATATTTTTGTCCGAGCAGTAGGTCCCAACAGTAAACATAAAGTATTAATATTCACTAAACCATGCTGTCAACGGATGTGCTGTCATCCAGCCTTTGTTGTTACATTTATACAGCACAGGCAGAGTAGATTTAGCGTAATTCTCAAGGGCCCCAGAATTTTCAGAATGGTAAATGAAGTGTTGGCTTCAGCTTAAAGTCCCCAGCTGCATTAGTCCCTGTCAAGATAGTCAGCATGTCCTTTGAAGCTTTGAGGCCAGGAATTAACTTCTCCTCTCTAACTATGAAAGTCCTAGATACCATCTTCTTCCAACAGAAGACTGTTTTGTATACT